GAAGGGGATTTTTTTTTTTTTTTTTTTTGGCTTCAGAAGCTTCTGAAGTCGTATTTAGGGTCAAACACACGTGCGTTTATATGAAAAGCGTGACGAGAGAAATATAACTTTTTTTTTTTTTTTTTTTTTTTGGAGGTGTGTCAAAGTGAGTGTTGTGAAATATGAAGTACTACCACTATAACCAATCACACATATTTAACTTGTGACTTTGCGACTTTAAGGATGTCACAACTCACACGCACACATAAAAAAGCCTTTCATGTTTTTCTATCTGAGCTATTTCTATTTATATTTCTAATTCCAACCTTCACACGATCTCTAAAAAAACAACAAAAGTCAGCGGGTCGGGTTTGAAATTTTGGAATTTTGGGCCTTCAAGTTTTGGACTTAGGCCACCTACATTCTTTTTGTACCCACTAAAGTCGTCATCATACTCTCTCTTTTTCTTTTTAAAAGAAAAAAAAAATCCTCTTCTCTATGATGATAAACATACGTGTTGGATGTATTCTAACTAAGTGTCAAATTTGTTTTCTAATTACAAGAAAAAAAATCGGCTTCCTAATTTTGAATACTAAATAATTGTTTTTTCTAGTGGACATAAATATTATATTTGGTATTGAAGGTTAAGTAATATTAACAAAGAAAACAAAGAAAAGTTGCCACCTGGTCCTAACGAGTAACAATACTTATTTTTTGTAGTTGTTTTTATTGGTGAATGGTTCTAATATCATTATAATTTATAGGGATTCTATACTAGCGAATAGTTATTAGCAGCATGTAACTCTATAAATTTACTAGTAGAATTTAGTGTGCAATTGAACATCTAAGACTCGTTTACTTCGCGGATTCGAGTTAAAATGTAACATTTTCTGAAAGCTTTTTACTATAGCAGAAAAAGTTAGATATGATATTTTTTTAGAGTTTTTTACTGTAAAAACCTAAAACTGAAAACTCAAATCAGTGAAATAAACGAGACGAGAGTATACAATTTGGCCAATATCTAATAAGAATTTGGTTTATATATATATATATATATATCATTTTTATGCCATGGATTTTGAAGTTATCAAAAAATCATATCTTGTCGGATTTTATTACTTTTATACCTTGCAATTTCAAATGTCAAAAAATCATATCTTGTCAGATTTTATCACTTTTATACCTTGCAATTTCAAATGTATGTTAATGTTCAATTTTAACCACAAAAGGACCTAAAACTCTAAAGGTATCAAATATATGGATTTTCTCATGAATTTAAAATGTGAAGGTATATATTCGATATATTGTATAATTTTTTAATAACCTCAAAACATATGCAAGCTATATAAATAAAAAAAAGAAAACCCGTAAATAATTTTACAATTCATTAGTGTTTGAAATCCTTAGATTTTTATATGACTACATACTTTTTTTTAAGGAAAAAAAAAAAACAATCATTCTTGGAAGATTACTCCATTGGCTTTTTTTTTTTTTTACAGTTTTAATTCCTAACACTAAAGTTGATGAAAGATGTCTGAAATTTAATAAAGACAATCACATCCCTATTGCACATATAGTGATTGAAGGTTCTACAAAAAATAGTTGTATAAATGTAAGATGCTTTAATTAATTTGTAAGAATTTTAACAACAATGAAGAGAATCCTTTTCATTTAATATAACTATCCTTTTTATAAAATTTCAGTTAGTATTCTATTGGGGACGATAATCTTGATAAATTTCTTTGGTCACTTTTAGTTTTAAGAATAAAAATTGTCAAAAAGGGGACAATAATCTTGCTAATTATCTTTTGTCACTTTTAGTTAATTAGTTTTAAGAATAAATTGTCAAAAAATGAGTTAAATTCATAAATAGTCCCTAAACTTTTTTTCTCTCTATACAATTAGTCCTTGTAGTCAATTCCTCTCATGAATAGTTTCTAAACTAAAAAAGAGTCTCATAAATAGTCTATTTGTTAAATTTTGGATGAAAATCATTAACTTTATCTCATGAAAGGTCCTTAAATTATTTTCTCTCTTTTTGAAAATAGTCCTTATGTTAAAAATTGTACTAAATTTAATCCCTAAACTTAAAAAAAAAAAATATGCCAAACCAGTTTATTTTTTAAATAAGTGGATAGAAAACATTAAATATTGAAGTTGTACCAAATTTAGTTTCTAAGATAAAAAAAAAACCAAAATTAGTTTTTTTGCTACACATATTTGACTTTTTTTTAATCTATTTATACACATGTGTAATTTGATATTTTTTTTGAGTGATTATATTTACCCTACCGTATTAATAAATGTTCCCATATTATTATTATATGATAATAATAACTTCAAAGACGTCTGTCTTCATAAATACTTTAACTATTTTATCTCTCAATCTGTCATTTTATTTTTTATTTTCTTATTAAGAAACAAACTTCTATAAAAAAAATAAAATTACAAACTAATTTAATTCAAAACAAAACAAAAAGATGAAACCCAACACATGTAAAAATTAACCAAGAAGACAATACCCATATATATCTTAACCATTTATTAGATTTTCACACCAAATGTAAAAGGATCCCTAAGAAAAAGAGTAAAAGCAATTAACTGCAAATCACAATTTACAATACAACAAAGTGTATAACACTATTATTTTATAACATTGTTTATCTACTATAACAAAAAATTAAAAAATATATATTACTGTTTATATTGGGTTACTTAGAAATTTAATGCGGTCAATAGAATCACTTTTTTTTTTTAATTTAGAGACTAAATTTGGTACAACTTTCATATTTAATATTTTTTTACATCTATTTATTTAAAAATAAAGTGATTTTGACATTTTTTTAAGTTTACGGATTAAATTTAGTAGAGAGAAAATTTAGAAACCTTTTATGAGACAAAGTTAACGGTTATCATTTAAAATTTATCAAAATGATCATTTATGTGAAACTTTTTGAGTTCAAAGACTATTCGTGAGATAGATTGACCATGAAAACTAATTATAGAAAGAGAAAAAAGTTCAGACACTATTCATGAATTTAACTAAAAAATAGAGTTTATGAAGTAATCTTCCAAGAAAAATAATTTGGGAACCAAAATCACACAAAAAGCTCGTAATTCAAAAACTAACAGGGTTAATAATATATATATATATATATATATATTTTTTTTTAATACAGTTACCTAATATTCCACATTATTACTCAAAGGTCTCAAACCAAATAAAAGTGGGGAGTTTGTTGGTAGGAAATTCCGGTGGTATAGGTTTTATAGTTACATTTATGCTAGAGTTGATCATCATCATATTTCCAAGGGGAAAAAAAAAAGTTTTAACCGATCATACAAATTTCACTAAAGTCTAATAAAAATTTAACGGCTTAAAGACATTCAAAATTCGGAAGACATCTACGTACCCTGAGGCCTAACGTCCTGAAATTGTGAGAAATAACCGTGAGGAAATTAATAGCCATTTTATTTCAAAAGAAAAATAACGATTCGTAATTAACATATATATATATATAATATCATCGCATGTTTATAAAGAGGTATATTAACATAAATGTGAATAGTTGATGTAAAAATGGACTATTATAATTTTTTATTTTTCGAGAGTCAATTCTAAATCATAATTTATTTGTTTTGTATATTCTTTTATTTTATACAATTTTAATTAAATTTAACGGTTAAAACATACTGATAAATTACCGAAGAAATTCTCTAAAAAAAAATTCTTGTACTTGTGATAAGATGAAAGCGAAAAGCAAAAAAGGAAATACTGACTACTTGGCGAGTTTTTTTTTTTTTTTTTTCCCCTTTTGGGTTGAGTGTGAGCCTCAACCTGATTACTTGATTAGCGCAGACAAAACTATGACAGTTGTAGGTATTAACTGAAGGCTGAAACCCAAGCTTACCGTGTTCGTCAAATTATACATACATTTTACGAATTACGAAATTATCGCAAAGTAGTTACGTACTTCCACTGTTTACTTGGATCTCGAATTCCAAGAATGGATGTTTCAGCTTGTACATAAAAAATTAAAGTACTCTCCATATCATCTCTACGATAAATACATGTTCAATTATATCCTGTAATGTATATATATACAGCATGCCAAAAAGGAGTGATATATTTGTATATACGTATACGTATAGGTATCAAAATTTTCAAACTCATTGTAATTAAGTTGAGAAAGATACTTAGATAAGTATATGCCTTAAACCATATGGATGAATAACCATATATTAACACAATTTGTTTCAGGCTGATGTAACGTATATATAATAACCAGTTACTTTCACGACAAATAAATGTCTCATTCAGTTCGTTAATTCGAGTTTTTAATTCGAGCTAAGATGTAACTTTATGTGAGAATTTTTAACTATAGCAGAAAAAGTTAGAAATGACTTTTTGTGAGAGCTTTTAACTGTAGCAAAACTGAAATTAAAAACTTGAATCGGTGAAATAAACGAGGCCAAAGAAACGAGACAAAATTGCATCAACGTTGTTTCCAAGTAGAGAATGGTTGACAAAATATTCTCAACATAAATGATATTCCTAAAACCAGTCAATAACTGTACTGCTATACATTTACCTTCTTGAAAATTACCTCTTCATTGGCGGTTGATTAATGGCCTACTACGCTACTACTGTTTTTAGGAAAGAATAAGACCAAATATTTTTTTTCCTTTTTTTTTTTTATTGAAGATCACCTAATAAATGATGTCATGGAATTTAAAGAGCAGGAAACAAAACACACGTTAAAATTTTTTAGAATTGGAGCGAAACAATATGGGTTGCACTAACTTATTGCTTAATTAATTTGCAATTTACAAACTAAAATTTCATAATAGTCATGAGTAATCATCTAATTCACATAGGAAAACTAGAACACGTACGTCTCAAATCAATTGATCAACTCCCCCCACAAAATTAAACTACATGTAGAAATTAATTAGAAGATTAAAAATTAGCATAGAGATACTAATCAACAAGAAGAAGAAAAGAAGTAATTAATTGGCCGGATCATAACTAATTAATATATTTTACTTTGAAGTTTAATTCAAATTAATCAAGCAGAGACCCAAACAGTGGCAAACACAACATTGTGGCCTTTCCATGTGAGCACAAGGTCCTCATCTTCCCTCTTCACACCCCAACCAGCAGCATGCTCATCAAGCATTGCCTTCACCTCCGCCACCGCCTCTTCGCCGAAGCTAACGCTCCGAAACCTCGCGTTCCGCATCCGCTGCACCCATTTCGCCTTCGGCTCGAGCCTCTCCACCCTCTGAATCCCCTCGTTCGCCAACACATTCTCTATCTTCCAACAAATATCCGCCTCATACCACTGCCGCTGCTTACTCCCCTTAGGCAGAAAAGTGTCCACTGTGTCGTACGGAATCCACAGATAATTAAACGCCGACCTTAATCTGCATACGAGGTTGTTGGACGTCAAGTCAGCGTCTTCGTCGACCAAAACGACGACGGTCGGGTCGAGGCTACGGATCGCCTTGAGAAACATTGTTCGCAGAGGAAGCAGTGTCGTTTCTTCCGGGATGTGGTGGAGTTTCATGTGGCAATTTATAACGAGAGCCTCTCCGTCTCCGGTTTCGGAGTATACTAGGTTTTGGACGCGGAGCTGTTCGATTAAGGAGGCGAAGCCGTCGGAGTAGCTTGAGGGGATGACTCTGAATTCGAGGACGATGTTTCGGGATCGGGCGAAGTTGACGAGCTTGGCGCCGAGTTCCTCATAGGAGAGGTCGAGGGCGGGAGGGAGCGAAACGGCGTCGTTGTTGGAGTAGTTGCACTCCGCGGCGACGGTGAGCTTGATCAGAGGCGGCACCTCGTTGTGGTGGCGCGTGGCGATAGAGTCGACGAGGGTGGGAATCTGCATGCAGTGCGTGAGGCTGAGGTCGACGATGTGGACGACGGGGCGGCCCTCGACGGCGTCGAGGATGGCGGCGTTGGCGGCTGTGAACCCGAAGCGGTGCCACGGCGTGAGGTCGATGAAGTTGGCGAGCTCGATGACAGAGAACCGGTGCGTCTCGACGGAGACGGAGACGCCGTCGGAGGGGAGCATGTTGCAGGCGCCGGTGCGGGCTGCGCGTGAGACCAACGCGCGGAGGAAGCCGCACGCGAGGCGCTGGTTGGCGTCGCCGTCGGGCGGGGCGATGTTGTTGAGGACCCACAGGATCTGCTGGGCCAAAGTGACGTCGTTTGCTTCGATGGCGTTGGCGCAGTGGACTAGTAACTGTTCCATGCAATTGGCGTCGCCGAAGCTCGAGCCGCCGCTTCCTCCTCCTCCTCCCACTCCCAACGCCTTGGAAGTAGTAAATCCCGGCCATGGACGTGAGGAATTACTACTTCCACGGTGATGGTGAAGAATTTGGTTCTTGTTCATCATGACCTGGAGATTAATGATATTGTGTAAAGGCACTGGTACTGACGGTGGCACTTGCGGCTCATGAGTGAATTGCATATCTCTCTCTATCTCTCTCTCACGTTAATTTTATGAGAAAGAAGTTGGCAAAAAGAGTAAGAGAGAGAAAGGGGGAGAGACGAAATATGGGTTCAGAGAGAGAAAGAGACGAGACTAACCAGTAGTGGGTACGACATCGGGAAACGAACCAAAATATTGGAGAAACTAGACGGAACAGTTTGGGGGAATTCTGCAAATGAATCGAAAGGGAAATGGACAGTTCAGCTTTATGTGGAGATTTTGGTTTTGGCTTTATTTGTTTCTTTTCTTTTTTGTTTATAATTTTTCCATCTCTATGTTTTTTTTTTTTTTTTCCTCTCATGGGATGTAAAAAGAAAACTCAAAAAAGGGACTGGTCATGGATATTTAAGAGTGGCAAATAATACTCAGCTCTCAGCTCTCATCCCCAAAAAGATCAATAAAAACACAAGTAATTCGAAGTCAAATTCGGCAAAAGAGACCTGTCGAACAACTATTCAGGCTTTTTGCATAGGGCAATAAGGCTACTATATATCATCCTATATAGCATCCTATACATGACCACCACAGGAACAACCTTTTCATTGCTGCAAAAGGGCCTAAACTCTATAATCCCCTCTTTCGTATCTACTTTTGGCTGCTTTTTTTTTTCTCTTTTTCCTTTTCTTGTTCAGGTAAAATAGATCACTAAGAGATAGAAGGAAAGGAAAAAAGAGAGGTTTGAAATAAGAAGAGTTAGAGGTTTTTTTTTTTTTTTTTTAATGTTGGATTTTGGTGGCATGTGAAGTAGCCGGCCAGGGGATTGTCCTTTTGTGGGAGTTGTGACTTTGTCGTGTTATGGACTGAGTTTTGATTGGTGGCAGCTATAACGTTTCTCTGCTTTTTTTCCCCCTAAATCATCACGGGCAATAATATCATGCGGTACATATATATATATCATGGACAAATCATTCTTATGCAGTATTTTAAATTGGTTTCCTCTCTTTCTTTACTATCCATGATTGTTTTGATGATGAGTTAGTCTCTTTCTCTCTCAACATGACTTCTCCATCCCAACTGTTGAAGGAATTTTGTGCGCGTAGTGTGTATATATATGTATATATATGTGTATATATATGTATGTATATCTTTGATCATCATGTATATAAGTTGTATGTAGTTGATTGGTCGTCCTTATTTGATAATGAGAGAGAGAGAGACAGAGAGGAAACTATTAATATAGAATAATATTGAAAGAGATAAGCTACATGTATATATATACATATACATACATACATATATATATATATAAACCTCATCGGCAGCTCCGACAATGACCATTCCTTTGTCTCACTCTCATCGATGCTTGTAAATATTTTGGCTGCCATGACTCATCGGAGGGACCCTCTGGCACCAATTTTAAAACCTTCAAAAGAATCGCCAAAACTATAGCATAAGCTTTAGTTTCAATCACGTAACCAACAAAACCGGACATATCAATTTAAACTCAATATAGTGCATGCATATGGACTGGACTCGAGTCCACCAAAAAAACTCTAAGAATTTATAAAACGAAACTAATAACGATAAAGCTCATGAGGAAAAGCAATTAATTAAAACTAATTGTGTCAACCTATAATAATGATGATATAAGTCCAAACTAGCTAATTAAAGATCGATAGTCCCCTCTTGTTTTTTTTTTTTCGGCTAACTAATTAATTAATAATTGTGTTAGTCACCATTATGTTACTTGCTTGTGCATGCAACACTTGTTTATTAATGGCTTAATTAATTAGCTTTTTCTTCACAGTACACGCACACACATGCAAATATATTGTTTCATATATATATATACATATACATATATATATTTATTTTTATATACATATATGTAAATACCTAGTTAATTACCACCCCACAGATAATGGTGTTCTCTAGGAATACGTTAATTTAATATCATTCTACAGCCTTTTCTTAAAAGACTTGCACATCCATCTTTGTGAGATATCTTATCCAGTTATCCATGGACCAGTTTTGGATTTTCACTGCAAACTTTATGTGTGGCACGTAGAAGGAATCTAAATATTTGTGTATAGTATACAAAAACAATGTTTAATAACATTAATAATATATATATATATATATATATATACACATATTTTCCCACTATATATATCTATATCGTATATATTCCACTAATGGGGCTCACTGCAATATAATCCCACACGTGATATACTATCTTTTGTTCCCTTATTGAAGGACTGCCTTTCCCTCATTTTCCCAACCCCACTTAAATAGACTACTCAACCATGACAGCCATAACAATGTTTAAAAAAAAAAAAAAAAAAAAAAAAATTGTTGAGAAAGAAAGAGATCACCTCTAATGAATTTCCCTAGTCTTAAAGCTCATAAGTCCAAAGTTCACACTTCACACGACTTGGGTTTTTTTGACCGACAATTGATAACAGTTGCATGTTTTCTCACCGGTACAATTTCTTTTTTTGGTCATTGCAAATATATACATGGCGAGTCTCACAGTGACACGATTAGATCAAATGCAATATATAATTGATATTAAGATTAATTTCCTCTAAATTCTAGCCAAAAGAAAAAAAAAATAAAGCACTTTGATTCCTCTCTAGTGATGAACACATATATATACATTGTACACTTACATAATTCACATACACACGTAGAACTTTAAACATATAGATACACATATATACACCAGAGGCGGATCTAAAAAGACAAGTAGGGAGCTGATCAAATGCATACTAAAATTAGAGAAAAAATAGGCTGGCTACTATGAGATGTTCAAACATTCTATTTCATATTTTCTTAATGAACCAAGTATAAATTTCATCAGATTTCATATATAAAATAGATAATAAAGAATTGCAAGTGTAGAGGCTGCCTAAACAGTAAACACCCTCGTTAATTATTGGCTCCTCCCTTGCATACACATACATTTCTCCGTTATTTGCACTCTATCTTGTAAGTTTTCCTATTTCCTCATAAAGTATAACCCAACAAGCGCATTAATTTTGGTGTACTTGTGCATGGCAATTTAAATATGTGACAATATATTTCCGTACGTACGTACCCTAATTGGTGATTGTACATATATCTTGCATCCTTATTTATAGAAACTACTGACCATAAACAGTACTAATCCTTAAACGAATGGCGTGGTTTCAAAATTATTTGTGGGCCCACATTGCTTTGTCAAAGACATTGATGAATATATTTCAAACGTACGCTATAGAACCCTAGAACCCTACTTTTTATCACCAGATAAAGTTGTCACAAAAGGTTGCAGAAGCCGAAAGGTTATATCTTGTTGTTTCCTCCTACCATGATTTTTATGCCAACCCACTTACTTCCATTATTCAATTGCGAAAAAGGAAATCTAAGGTCTCATTAATTTCACTAATTTAAATTTTTAATTTTAATTTTGATACAGTTAAAAACTCAAAAAGTAACATTTAATTTTTATGATACAGTGAAAAGATCTCACATAAAATCACACATCTACTTGAATTGAAAATTCAAATCCGTAAACTGAACAATACTTAAATTTAGGAGACCGATCAGACTTACTTTTTTCACAACACATGTACGTAGTTCATATGTATAAAATACATATACATATATATATATATATATATTTAATTTATTGAATTTATTTTTCCTAGGCAATAATATTCATCAAAACACATGCAACTGAAGAAGAGTATAAGAAGAATCCAAGGGAAGCATATAAGGAGAATCAAGTAAGTTAAGGAAATGAGTTATAATAATCCCAATGTTAGAATTTTGAGGAGGATTCCAAAACTTTTTAGATTACAAAGACTACAGGACATATTGGCCAAAGTAAAACACACCAAGCATGTCTTGGAATTTCGCAGTAAGGGAAAATTCTCTGGCAAACCCCCATGGGGGTTTTGATTTCCTTTTCAGTATATGACAACACAAAAAACAAAGGCGTTGGCATGGAAGTAAGGAATGTTACCATGTGCTTGAGATACCCATTTAGATAATTAGCATTTTTTTTTTGGTTTAGTTTTAGAGATTTGGGATTATAATTATAATCACACTAGCTTAGAATAATATTACCTATGGAAGCCAAAGGTGTAAAGACACCAGCTTTTTGGATATTGTGGCACTACAGAAAAAAGACAATCCCACATTTTGGAAATTTTCTTTTAATATAAAGACCGATCTATTTGTGAAGAATTATTGTGGTATAAGGTCCAAAATCTGCCCACCCAATCATTACTAAAAGCGTGGTATTCCTTCTTGAAGGAAGTGGATTAAGAAAATATCAAGCATAAATTATACGTGTTGGCATCTAATGTGGGTCTATGCTTCATACATTAAAAAAATAAAGCTTGTGATGATAGCGAATTTGTACGCATCTTATGTAGATGCTAGACTCGTTAATTATCAAAGTGACATGTTTGAATATGTACATATACATATTGCAGATATCACTATCATGCATATGTACATTATAAATATAATATATATTGGTGACATCCATGTTGTGATTAAAGAAATTCAAATTTCGCTCACTTGTACTTTGTAAATAATTCCTTTTTGGATTTTCGTTCAGAGAAATACTAGCCCTTTCTAATGCTACATAATCACTACATAGCGTTTGTTTTTTACTGTGTTTACTCATGTTCCAGAAAAACTTTGGTAAGTTAGGCAGATTTTTTTTTTTATATAAATGACGAGAGAGAATAACTGATATGATATCTTAATAGGAAAATTGATCATATTAATTAAATGTAAACTTTTATTTGTATATTTGCTAATTTCAAGAGATTGATATATATATATATATAGTATTAACTTTTTAAATATAAGAAGTAATAATGTACACGATCCTTGAAATTTACTCTCAATTTTACTTTTGTCCTTGACTTTTAAAGTGCCCATTTATTTCAAGAGTTCATCAAGTTTTAAACCATAAATCAAGTTTAAACCGGTGTTTGGTTCATTTTTTATGAACCTGAG